ACTGGTTCCTTAACAGTGGCCCGAAATGATAAATCCATTCTTTGCCTTTGCAAAGATCTGCAATAAACAGCAAAGTTCAAATCTAGATGTGGAAAAACCTCTCTGTAAGGCAGGCTTGCCAAAGGTAAGTATCTGTAAGGGTATCATCTCACATAATACAATTCCCATGTACCTCTACCAAGTCTTGTATCATTGCCACAGCTTGATCATTAATGGATCCTGCTACATCTCCCTTCCAGAATAAAGGAAAAGAGTCAGCTAGAAGCCTTAGAGGAAAATTAGTCTGTTGACTTGTCAAGCTTTCATGTGCTATAGAAGGAAGAGTCTTAAAGCAGAGCTCTGAAGTTTGCAAAAGTGTTTCTAAACCTTTCATACTCTCATCTGAACCCAACTCCATTTCAGTTTACATATGCATTTACTTAATAAGAGCTATTTTCTAGCACCTTGTTTTAAATCATAAAAAAAAAAAATCTTTCAGAAGGCAGCAAACTAGAAATAGCATACTCTTTACATAATACTGAGATCAATAGTATTTAAAGTAGCTGGAAAGTATACTAACATGGGTAGTAGTTTTACAATGGCTTGTTTAAAATACCTGGAGGCTTTTACATATCCCAAAGGCATTTCTCATTTGCACAGTAAAGATAATTTTTTGTTTATATCTGAATATTAAATTGGGAATATAGTTATAGTTATCCGGCAAGAACTGCAAAGACTGCTGAAAAGTGTAATATCATTGGTGTATTACTGGAATCAGCAGCATAGCCATAAAAAAGTACAAGTTAAATTTTTAAAATTTTAGGGCAGGAGAACTTCTATTTTGGGGCCATGAAAGCATTTGAAAACAACAGACAAATAATGGCAAGGTACTAGTAATTTCTCCCTACGCCCCCCAAATTATATCTTTTAATTTTCCTGGGTCGTTTGGAAAAAAAAACTAAGGAATTACTGCAATTCTATATTACTATAAGGAATACTATAATGCTATAAATATAAATTGCTGTAAAGTTAGTACTGCCCACTCAATTCCCCCTAATATGTATTTTCTTTTCTTCACCACACATATGTGGTGTAAGCTGTGTAGTGCTAAGTAAACATTTTGTCCTGCATCTTTTATTTTCATCACTGTAATCTCACAAAAGAAGCCTAGCTGTCTCTTTCATCAGTTAAATGACTGAAATCCTCTGGACAATACTGTTTGATTCTTTTTTTATATATATATTTATATACATATATATGATCTAGGCAGGTACACATGCCTGTGCTTTCTTAGATTCTGTCTGCTTCCATTACTTATCTGGCTTATATGACCTCAGGCAGTCTCTAACAAAGATCTGGCAGGAAATGGAAGTTCCTCGGTTATGGAATTTTTGGTGGAAAGAGCACACTGAAAAATTAAGCTATGCAAACACTGGTGGTATCCATGTCACAAGAAGAAACAAAAAAAGGTTCAAATCCATCACATTCTGTTTGTTTCTATCTCAAAATCTCACAATAAGCCCGAGCAAGATAGAAAAAATTCTGAACTTGAATATGACTGGGTCTCTGTTGTCTCTAATATAGATAAGAAGGAATGAGACTTACGTGGTTTTGAAGTCTATGAGACTTAAATGGTTTTTATCAGATTTTAGTGTAAATTTCCAATTTCCACCTCATCTGATACAACTGTGTATAATATCGAAAAATGGGCTCCAAGCAGCACGCATCCTCCCAAGTGACATGCTTCAGGACTCATCTTGCTTATAACAGTTATTTGATGATCCCATCTTTTAAACTCTTTAAACCCACATATTTTTCCCAGATTAACAAAGCCAAAAAAATCTATTGTCCTGCAATTTTCTGGACAGCAGCAGTGGTAGATAGCAAATTCCCTGTAAAGCTAATCCATGCATTGGAACTAAGATAAACTGATAGTAGCATTAAAAAAGCATATTATTTACTCCTATAAAGTAGGGAATAAGAAAAAAACTTTTCCGAAAGGATGAGAGTGTGAAGAGGTGCAGTCATGAAACTGAAGCTACTGAGGAAATCATTATGGAAAGTAATAACAGGAAAAGTGAGGATAGAATATATGGGTCTGTAATTTGGTTGTGCAGAAGGTTCACAGGTAAAGCTGGGCTAGAAACTATTTCCAAAGTGGCAATTAGACCATACTCAGGCAAAAGAGATGAAGCTACATCAATTAAAGAGAAAAATACACACTACTGCTCCATCTGTCAAATCAAAGCAACCGAAAGTTCAAAGCTGTGATTAATAAAACTCTTATATACTGAATGGGTTTTATCCAAACCTATTCCAGGATTCTCAGGAGTAATGATAACACCTAAAAATATGCTGTGGAAGCAATTTCTTCTTTCTTAATTCCATAATTCAGAGAAGCATGGAAAAGCTGTGATATACAAGTATAGCCTTGAGTTCAAAAAGGTTCTAAAACATTAGTGTAATTCTAAAAGAGTAGAGGACATTAAAAAAAAACTAGACAAGCACGTTAACAGAATTATGTTGGCAAGGTTTCACATACCAATCATCAGCCTCTATACAGTGCAAAACACATACGGAAAATTTCAGCTTATTATCTTGCTTTTGTGCATGAAGGTGGTATATAAGAGTGCCACATTCATTGTATCAATAAGAATACACAAAATTACCAATTTCTGTTCTAAATAAAGCATAACATAATTTAAAGCCGGGGACAACTATGAAGCATAAAAACACTCCTAGAATGAAAGAATGAAGAATAATAAACAAAGAAGACAGACTGCATCTTATATAGGCACATAATTCAAGAACTCCAAATAATTCCTTTATTGACCATTATTTAAATCCATGCTTTCTAACACCTCTATGATTCAATTCATCCTAATATCCTGATTATTTTTACATGCAACATAAATAAAGAATGTTAATAAGCCTGAACACCTGTTTCTGCCTTCTTAAGCTTCAGGTGAAAGAACTACAATTTTCCACATTGTTCAGCTATGTATAAAATGTGGTTAGGATAATAAAGTTTTTTAATGTTTTCAATATAATTGTGCTTATATACAGGTAATGTATGTTTACATATATTAAATACTGAATTTATATATTTTAAACAGTTCTCTCATTTTTTTATGTTTTATGAAGGAAGATGAATTCTACTACCAATATCCTTATAAAAACATGACTAACTTTTACTGGGAAATAAATAATTATGATTTTGCATTTCAACATAAATGAAGGATGCTATGTATTCGTGCATCAGTCTTCATCATATATTAAAACTATTTCCCAAATCAAACATGACAACAATAGTAAAAATAGTATACTGTCTGAACAGCCAGGCTACTACTCTCTGCAGTTAAGTGTCCCAGTACAATGCCAGCAGTTACTTGATATCATCACTGGCAACCACATGTAAATGCCCCAATAACAGCCTTCTTAAAATAAACTGCATGTCCTCACATCATCACTGTCTTCCTCTGGATATGAACCCATTAGACACTGTATTTTTGGACAAAAATTTTCATTGCTTTATGCTAGGCAGAACAGGGGACAACACTATAAAAAACAGTGACAGAGAAGGGATCTCATCAATACATACAAATATCCCAAAGGTGAGTGTCAGGAGGATGGGGCCAGACTCTTTTCAGTGGTGCCTCAACATGAGGCAGAACTTCTTTGCATTGAGGGTGGCAGAGTACTGGAAGAGACTGCCCAGGGAAATTGTGGTGTCCCTCTCTGGAGCCACTCAAAACCCACCTGGACACATACCTGTGTAACCTGTTCTAGGTGACCCTGCCTTGGCAGAGGGGTTGCACTAGATGATCTCCCGAGGTCCTTCTAACCCTAACAGTACCATGATTCTGCGAAATGCACTCCCAGCCAAAGATGTTAATGCTATATTTTCACAAGTGAAAGAACATGTACAGATGAAGTCCAGAAAGGAAAGGTGTGAACAACAAAACATGCCTTCTAAGGTCAAAGTACTCAATGGAAACCCAAAGGAGACAGGACCCCCTATGAATCTGTAACAAACTTCCCAAGTAAAATTGGCACGACTTTAAAAAGAGTTAAAATCCATTATTTTTTTCTTTTTAAAAAATTCCCTTTTTCATTTAAAAAGAGGGAACTCATGGCACCTTAAAATAATACCTGCAATACTGACAGCCACTTCATTCACATTCTCCTTATCTTTGGCCTACAAAATATCTGAATTCATAAATATTGGCATCCCAAAACAATCAAATGAATACTGTGATAATTAGCTAACAATTATAGGAATCAGATAATAGTAAGTACCATGAAGAAATCCTCACCATTACTATCCTCAGAGGAATAAGCTGCAGAAGATCCTGTTTGTTAATGGAGACGGAAGCTCTTACAGTCAGGGAAAACTTCTTCCCCCAGAGGGTGGGTGGGCACTGGAACAGGTTCCCCAGGGAAGTGGTGACAGCACCAGCCTGAAAGAGTCCAAGAAGCATTCAGACAGGGCTCTCAGGCACATGGTGCAACACTTGGAGGGGGTCCTATGCAGAGCAAGGAGCAGGACTCAGTGATCCTGACCTCTTCCAATGCAGCATATTCTATGATCCTATGATAATTATGGATTCTATTACCAAGTCTTAGCTTTTCACTTCCTCAAGAATTCAGATAAACATAACTTATATACAACTGTTATCCAGCAGCTTATTACACTGGAAAACTACCAGTCATTTTCCTCCTCCTGCTCTTTCAACAGGAGAACAAAATATTGCTGTACATTCGTAATTTAAAAATTGTATTGAACTGCAGCACAGCAATCTCACTGAGAACAGATTTTAAAGTCAGCTTCAACCTGCATCAAAAAAGAAGAAAACTTGCAATGTATTCTAGGCGCTCTTGACAAAATGTAACAATTAAATTTTTTCAACACATTTTTAGAACTCTACATAGTTCTCAATTAGAAAGATAAAAAATATGGTATCAGAAGGAGATGTTGGTTGTTTTTTGATTTTAGTAGAATATTAAATCTTCAAACTCACCTTTCCACAACCAAACTGACAGATTAAGTAAGATCTGGTTTGGACACCTGGAGATGTTTCCAAAGAGACCACACAAATGCTTTATCAGCCTTAGAAAAAGGAAAAAAAAAGAAGAAAAAACACATTACATGTATAATGCCTTTTACTGACAAAAATAAGTTATACTGAGCATATTCAAAAGACAATTGCCAAGAAAGCCCTACTCTAGTGAGAATTCCCTGCAAGTTACTCACTTCTCCATGAATGACAAAAACACAGCAAATAGTTCTCTTGAATATACAAAGTTTTAACCATACAGAATTTTGAAGTAAAACAAACATTCATAATCAACATTAAAATAGCATGCAGTGCAACATATGGCAGCAGAAGTTACACTATTCAAACAAGGCTGCCTTTTGCTATATCTATTACTGTTACTGACACAACTTCTATTAAATGTTAAGCCTGCTTCAAGGAATACCCGCTTCAAGATTAAGTTCTACCACTTGCAGCTTTTTGTTTCAAAATACACAGTAAAAGAGTCTTCTAACACACACTCACCTAACCTGCAGTATACAGAAGTTTCGGAAAAAAAGCTCAAATGAGAGCAAGAAAACAGTGTTCTTTACAAACAGACTTCAGAAAGTTTGTGAAAACCAGATGTCAGCTGAAATCTTTCCCACATATTTATTTTCTACTACACATTAGTTGTTATTTTTTCACTGGTGTCTTCTTATTCCAATATGATTTTATTACTGGAAGCATCAATATTTGTTATTTTACAATTTAAACCCATGTGTTAATTATACAAAAATGTTAGAGGAGAAAAATAAAATCCAGCAAAAGATGAAGACCAATAAGAAAATATGTGTTCATGTTATAAATCTGTATTGTGATATTTGCTTTCACAAGTATTAAGATGAATATTATATGTTAAATAATTTTTGGCTATGTATGTACTTTTTTTTCTTGCTAACAAGTTTTAAGCTTAAAGGAATCTCCTAAGTACCAGCAAGGAAGCCCCAGAGGGCAAAGACAGTGGGGCCCAAGCTGCTGTCAGTGGAAGAACAATAGAGCCCAAATTGTTATCTGAAGCCAAGATCAGGCCGTCAGCAGCAGGGAAAGATATGAAGCCCAGCTGCCCTCAAAGGAAGGATGAGGGGCCCGGACTGTTATCAACACTGACCATTTGCAGAAGAAAGGAAACCAGACTCAAAATAATGTTGGTCAGCAAGAATAATGATGACCAGCAGAAATAATGATTGTCAGCAAAAATAAAAACTATACAGATCATGTTCTAAATGGGTGGAACCAGGGAGGGGACATGCTAAATACTTGTTGAAAAAGTTTGAATATGCATTAAACCCTCACAGCAGGAGGGGATAAAAAGAGTATTCCTGAGATATCAGGTGTGCTCTTGGCAGCGCGCCAAGGCACCCGGCCGTTTTAACCCTTTGCTTTATTTCCTTTGTCTCCCAATTGTCTTTTTGTTTATATTAAACTTTTTATAATTTATTAAGTGAATCTCGTTTTTAATAGTTCATAAACCAGAGTCCAGACTAGGATGAAATCAACTGACACAGTCTAACATAAAATTAGGAACAAATAAGCCAAACCCATCATATTGGCAGCTAGGCCTATTCAACAGGCAAAAATAATTAGTGCAGCTATGTCTACTAGAGTTTTGGAAATAGAGAATCATTTAGACTGGAAAAGATATTTATGGTCAAGGCATCCAACCAGTAACCTAACATTGCTATATGCACCACTAATCCCTACATGCTGTATCTACATAGCTTTTAAATACCCCAGGGATGGCAACACCCCCACAACCCCTGAGTAGCCTGTTCCAATGCCTGACAAGAAATTCTTTCTAATGTCAAATCTAAATGTTAAAAAACAAATTGCCAAAAAGATCTTATAATTCAAGCCCATCATCAGCTTATGCAAAATGCACTACATCAAAAAGAGCTCATCTTTCTTAAAAGCAGAAAAATTTCAACTGTCTTTCACAGGTTGTGCACAGCTTTTAAAATTCTGTGTTTCTTGACTTTCCAAACAAAATCAAACAGTTAACAAAATACTTTGTGCATAAAGAAATGAGGAACAAGATATTTTTAAAACACTTGAAAAACCCATAATCTTTCTCTAACCAAATTAGGTAACTAGTGTAAGCACTCTTTTCAAAACCAAAAGTGACCCTGTTGCATTCAAACAAACAGTAACTACCTGGGTTAAGCACTACTTCCATTTTTGAAGAAAGGTAGCACAAAACCTGGACTGTACACCATAAAATTAGTAACTCAAATGACTTTGCATCAGTATCCAAGTCTTTGTTCAGTACAAGTGCTAAAAATAGGTTAACTTTCAGCTCAGAATTAAGTTAAAAGATAAACACTAAGCTCTGTATTAAATGGGTTACTAAGAAAGAAAAAAGTACAATCCCTGATTTCATGCTATCACACAGTATACTGAACTTCTATGTTTCAGTGGGAAAGACTATAAAAGTGTGCACTTGTTTCATGTCCTTAAAATAAAAGACACCATCTTCCCCTCTTTCTAAGAACTGCTGCAGGCTTCAAAAAAGCACTAAGATGTACACAGAAGCTGGATTCAGAGTAATTTTAACATCTAAGAACATCTTGTGTTTATGCTGGTAAGTCAGGGGGGAAAGCAAACAAACAAAAAACAAACCACAAATCCAGACTAAAACTCTCTAAACAATAGCAATGAAAATGTGATTTCTTTTTAATTATTTCAAAGCACATTAAATCAATAGTCCTTCCAGCCAAAATGGCCCTAGTCATTTCACAGTAGTGTATCAACACAGCAAATCAGCTAGGCTGGAAACAACCTCTGAGATCATCAAGTCCAACCTATGATGAAACATCACTGTGTCAGGTAGATCATGGCATCCAGTCTTTCCTTAAATACCTTCAGGGACAGCAACTCCACCACCTCCTTGGACAGCCCATTCCAACGCACAGTCACCCTTTCTGTGAAAAAATTCTTCCTAATGTCCAACCTACACCTCTCCTGGCACAGCTTAAGACTGTCCTCTTGTTCTGTCAGTGGCTGCCTGGGAGAAGAGACTGACCCCCACTTGGTTGCACCCTCCTTTCAGGCAGTCATAGAGACAGACAAGGTCACCCCTCAGACTATTTTTCCCCAAGCTAAAATACCCCAGCTTCCTCACATGTTCCTCACAGGAATTGTGTTCTCGGCCCTTCACCAGACTTGCTGCCTTTCAGTATAAGGAAATCTTTGAATCATAATGACAGAAAAAAAACACTGTATCTATTCCAATTTTAAAATAATTTTAAGTCAAATTGTTCAAGTGATCAGAAATTACATGATAATAGTGTTTGAGCATTTTTATATATTTAATACAGAACTCACTGTGTATTTTATACTGAACCACCATAAATCACTAAGAAATTAGTCTAAAGGCCACAAAACCATTACAGCAGAGAGAAGACACAACAGAACAAACGGCTAATAGTATTCTACCTGAAAACACTCAGAAATCTTGAGTCAAGCAAACAGTCAAAAGTTTCTTATGCTGACTGATGGTCTCATGAGCTATGTTTAGTTAGTTTTGTTTGCCTGTTTAAAGTCTTAGATCTGCTTATAAGCATGCCTCCTTAACTTTCCCCTTTACTATCCTAAACACAAAACCACAGAAGTAGCTGTTGGGTTTTCTGCTTTTTTTTGTTATGTATATTAGAAGAGTTGAGACCCTTGGGCTTCTCTATGACTCTAAAAAGCACTATCAAACACCATGAGACTCCCTACAACCAGAGGTGTCTGCAGATTCTACTGTGCAGATTTGTAGACATTTCAGGTCCCAGCTGGGAAACAGTTTGAGGCATCCCAAGAACACAGAATAGCATATAACCTTCAGACGAATACTTCTAAGCACAGCTTTCCTTCGCTACAAAAAGAAAAACCAAAAAAATGGAAAACCACAGCAATAGGTATTGAACTGTTCCTAGTGAACAAATATTACTATATATGTACAATAAGAGGGAAGTCTTCACATTCATCCCATAATTTTTGCTCAGTATACAGCACGTATTGACCCTCTGAAAACTGAATTTCTACCTAAACTTTTCAAAATCTTCCTTTGATAATATATGAGGTTTCAACAAACATTCCTAATGAGAACACAAACACTCTAAAACCATCTTTTTAAACTCTTCTGTTTAATTTAACCTGTAATTATTCCACAGTCTACTTTAAGTTGTCCAAAGAGTAAAATCAGCCACAAATTTGTATTCATGTCAGTGAAATTGCCACTCCTTACATAACTAAGTTCTGTGACACTCCTGTCTGTGCTAAAAGAACAGTAGATGAAACAACATTAAAAACTCATCCTAACTGTAAAATAAAAAATCTCCTTTGCAATAAGGAATATTGAACGGGCACTAAACAAACTTCAAGGAAACAGCTACACAAAATAGGCAAAAAGGTGTCCATTAAATGGTAAACAACTAACAACCATGACTTCAAAATACAAACCAAAGCCTTCACAAATCCTGTCGAAGTAAGTAAAAAGTCACTGGAATTTCCAAAACTGCAAAACAATGATATTTCAATACATGTTATTTATTTTTTATGATGACAAACTGATATTTAAAGTTACTACTGCAAATTAAGAATTTATGAATAAACCCAGAACATAAAGTAATGCTGCAATTGTATCAACAGATATTCTAAATTAAATCATTATATGCCTTTCACTATGTACTCAATATGTACTTTTAACTTCTCTAAATGCACACAAAACTAACCAATGTCCTGCCTAAGTGTACTTCTGCCAAAAGAATGACGCAAATGCATCTTCAAATAATGTTACCAGTGAAGAAAAAAACCCCAAACAAACAGAAAACCACTACTTCATCACAGTGAAGAGAACATTTTTCACAAAAAGAAAGTTTACACAGAAACATACAAAATTTTTCATTATGACAACAAAACATTACTAAGAACTTAGTCAAAGAATGTTGAGTCGCCATATGTGATTTTCTTATCTTTAAAATGCCAAACATTTTAATAGCTATTTCATTTAATTCTAAGTAATATGATTAATTAAGCATTTTGTATAATG